CGGTCATTCGTCTTCCGAATTGCATCTACAACAAGCTCAGTAGGAAGGTTTCGAAATGGGGGTAGATCCTTCCCGTGGACCCTCCAACTCGGGGAAAGGCCTATTGACAGGTAGAAGGGGCCAGTGCGCTTATAAGGTGGAAATGGGAGTCCCTCCCTGATCGATGTGGGATTGACCCAACAGTTGCTAATGGATGGTCATGGTGTGAAGATAATATATATATATATATAGAAGAAAGAGAAAGTGAGTTTGAAATATTTTTAGTACGAGGGGCGTGATGGTGGTGATGATAGTGGAAAAGTAAGTTTGAGTTATTTTTAGTAAGAGAAGTGCTAGTGGTGGTGGTAATGGTAGTGAAAGTGGGTTTGAACTATTTTTAGAGAGAGGACTGGTGGTGATTTTGGATGGTGGTGCTAGTGATGATTGTGGGTTTTTCATGGAATGGGATGGTGGTGAGAGAAGAGAAGAGAAATAAAAACAAAGAAGAAGAGAAATAAGAGAGTTATTTATGTCTTTTTAACATTGCTATTACAACCATCCATTTTTGCTCTTTGGTAATAATTTTAAGAGGTTTTTAGGTTAAACTTCAGGGAGGCACTGTGCTTTTTGACATAATCTTAAGGAGGTAAAATGTAATTTACTCAAGTATATAACATATTTTACTTACCTAAATTACCCTTACGTTCATCAAATAACTATCTCAATACTCAACTAATTGCTCTTCACTTTTCTATTTGTAATATGGGTGGTGGAAGAACAATTAGAGATATGGATAGTACGGACACAAGCATTTCATGAGTCAACAAAGCTAGTTATTCTTGGGCCTCACAGGACCCAAAAAATTGTTACAAAATTTCACCCACTTATATTCCTTGTGATCATAGGCTAAGGAAAAAGACTTGACCATTAACCATAAATCTTGAGTATTACTAAATTAAAAATGCCCGAAAGTGTGAGGTAACCTTCTTTTTTTTTTTTTTTTTTAACTAAAGAATATGCATTAAAGTCCCGAACTTTTTCCTCTTTTCTTTCAAAGCTGAAGGTAAATATGCGTCTTCTTACCTCTTACTTTTATCTAAAAAGCATATGAATCTCTCTCTCTCTCTTTCTCTCTAATACCCCATTTGATAACACTAAAAAAATAGTTTAAAAAACATATAAAAGCCATTTTAGAAAAATTATCCTTTTTAATTGTACATGGGTATGCACAACTTGGAAGGTAGCTATCCAATTTGTGAAGTTGTTCTTTGGATAATATTCAGAAATAAAAAATTTTAATTGTAATTCAGATTATGGATAAATTTGTGAAAACGAAAAAGATGTGTGCCATTCAACAATTGTTTATAATAAAATTTAACTTAATTTTGAGAGTTATCTTCAATATTTATGATATTCAAGGCTTTAAATAACTAACATGGACAAATTTCAACTTAATTTGATGAAAAACATGACCTGAGAAATTTGAGAAAAAATTCCAAAGTTATGATTTATACCTTGTATCTTGAATTTTTTTTTTTTTTTTGATGTATATCAGCAAACAACATTAGTTACATAATTAGTAAAACTATACCCAAATTAATTGCACCTTCACATTCTTTTCTTTTTGTTTTCTAAACTAATCAAATCGTTTATGATCTATTGTTCTACTTTTCTTTGATTTTCTTTGCTTTCTATCTTAATATATTCTCTAGCTTGATTTATTCTTAATCCTCAATAATTTTTTAATAAAAAAGATTCAATGATCCTTTAATGTTGTTTAGAATGATAATTTATATTATTGAAAGTCTTAAGCACAATCATTAATGTAGAATATTTGATAAAGTTTTAAGAATTCTTTTGACAATCCCATTTTGGTACCTAGTGATAAGGAATTAGAATGGTTGAGATGATAAGGTTCGACAAGCGTTTCGCATCGGGAATATTTGCGACAACAATTACTCCCCGTTGCCAAAAATATTATTAGTGACAATAAGTTATTAAAAGAAATTAAAAAATATTTGGATTGACATAATTTTTGTCGCAAACATTAGTTAAAAAATGTAAGAACCGTATATTTGCCCATTGCAAATAAACTATGGCCATGATTAAGATTTTAGTCTAACATAGTATCATTTCAAAGTAAGATTGTTAAATTATAATATTTTAATACTATAATCTACTAACATATAGTACTAAACATGTCAAAATGAGAAACAGGGCTAGAGTTGCTCCTACTTTGCATGCCCTGCAAACAAGAACACTCCTTACTTGGAGCTTTGTTGCTTAAGTAATCACAGTATATTTTGTTTATTCAAGAAGGATTTACCTATTTTTCATCAACTTTATATATATATATATATAAGTAACTATGGTAAAGTGGTTTGGAAATATTCTTGAATCCAATTACATGCTCTTGATCCTTTGATTACTACCTGAAAAATGGATGAACACTCCGGTCGGGAATGTCGGAATTAACACTCCGATGGACAAGTTAGTATCTTCTCAAATTTACTTCCATCTCAAGTTATCTTGTTTGTTTTTTTACATACCTCCCTTTGGCTGACATTCCTTCCTTTTTATATTACGTATGGGCCTAAGGGTCGGGCCCACTATTGATCTCGCACATAATTATTTAATCGGCCCTCCAGTTGAGTGTTAGCTCCCATTCGGCTTCTTATATGGCCGATTCGTATATTTGGCTTCATGAGCCCCTAGTTAGGGCCGAATTACCTTCGGCCTGATGTCTCAACCGGATGCCTTGGCCTCTTCCTCGATGATTTTATTCAGCCTCCACAATAACATATAACTAGGTTATTCACTCTTACAAAATTATATATTGGAGCATGGTGTGAGATTATTTGTCTTATTTTTTGAACTAGTATTATGTTTCTCGTACTCTTCTAATAATTAATTTTAGTGGCATGATAAGGGGTTGTTTGAGATGTTCTAAATAAGTGTACTTTTTGTCTTTTTGGACTAAAAAGTTGAGGAAAAAAATATAGATGTTTGGGTTAACTTTTTGACTTTTTATGAAAAAAAATGTATTAAAATATTGTATAAATAAGTGTTTAGGAGAAGATAATTAATGAATCCGTACGGTTGGGCAGTGCCTCGGTTGAAAAGGATATGGGAAAAGATTGCCTACTTTTCGACCTTTGTTTGGACGGTGTTGTTTAGCCTATGAGGGCCCACCACGGGTCCCATTTTTCTAATCGGAACCGTTCAATGTGTAGAACTCGTCGAATACTATATTTTAGTAAAAAATCACGTTCATTGAATATCGATAGCTATTTGATCGTGTTAGTTTTTTTTTGTCACGTGTTAACTATAACACCATCCATTTTTTATACAAACTAATTTGATCATGTAGTTAGAGATATCCGATAGACGTGAGTTTTTACAGGCATATAGTATTCGACGAGTTCTACACATTGACGGTTCCGATTAGAAAAACGGGACCCGTGGTGGGCTCCCACGGGCCGAACAACACTATCTAATTTAATGAAAATACACATGTAATATTTTATTTTTTTGCCTTTCATTCCTATGCTTTCAGGTCTGTACATTGGCTGCCGTGAAGTTGATTGGTATTTAATATTCTGTATTTTAATTTTTTAATATTTTTTTTTGATAAATAATGATAACTTTTAAACTTTTAAATAACTTTTTGACTTTTTAATTTTTTTGAAGAGATACCAAACTTGGCCTAAATATGTGATGATTGATATGAAACAAATCACGGCCAGTCTTTTTCGGGACCTAAGGCTAAGTTAAAAAATGGAACTTTCATATATATATATATATATATATATACATATATTAAATTATCTATAAAAAAAAAAATAGTGAGTATATATATATATATTTTTACTTACACAAAATTTGCTTACACATGTAAATACTAAACTTATTAATTTTTAAGATTGCTATGCACACAAATCACTTAAAATATTATGTGATAAATCCAATTCGAAAATATTATATTAACGAGTAAATCGTTTATAGTTTGTTTGTCACATATTTCCTGAACAATTTTATACGTTTTCATAATTGACATAAATCATAATGATTGAGATAGATTTTGGACATCTTCGATTGGTAATGTTGTTAATTTATTTAAACACTTTTTTTTTTTTTGTGAAGTTGATTGAATGTAAAATTTGATCAATTTCAATTTTAAAATTTTATTTCTTCAAAAGTAATTGTAATTAGTATCGTCAACAATATTCTATAAATAATCCATATATTTGGCAAACAACCACCAATTACTTTTAAATAATTTACCACTTTAATTGTTTTTTTAGTAAAATTTCATTTTTAAATTGCTAATACTATAATGTAGTGTTTGATTGACTTGAATGAAATTGGATAGAATCAAATGGTCATTTCTTATAACCTCTCTATAGAATGATTATTCTCTCACATTGGTGAATGATGATTATATTTATAATACATTTTCTTATAATTTTTTAGTGAAACAAACATGAGAATAGATGTTATGGTAGAATGACTTATTTCCTTCCAGTTAATTTCATTGAACCAACACAACAAAAGGATTCCAATTATTCGGGAATCCTAATTTTTAGATAGAATTTGAGAACCCAGTGTGGCCGCTTTGCCACATTCCCTCAAGGGTAGCCTTAAAACAAATGATGAGCCTCTTTTGGGAAGGCAAAAAAATTTATTGGCTTATTTGGGTCACGTTACATCACCTCTCTATTTTTTTACATATTTTTTTTTTCTTATAATAAGCTAATAATTTTTTTTTAAAAAAAATCACTTCTCAAAATAAGTCGAAGAGCGAGACAAATTATCTACACTCGTTAAAATACACCTAACTTACTGAGGGAGTAGTTGAGTAATTAAATGAACGACCTAACACCATCATTCATTTTGGATGGACCTCTTCACCCTAGAATAGTTTTTTCCGACTCCCTTTTTCAAGTTACATATATATTAGTCATTGAGTTTGGTTTAGCTCCATTTTTGAAGATAAATATATAAACTCATATATAGATGGTTGAGGTGAAAGTGGAATATTCTCCAATTAATGTAAGGTAGTAAAGTTGGCCATTTTGCATGGTGGGAAGGGATGAGGAATCTCATGTACAAAACATTTTTTGTGCCAAAATTAATTTGGGCAAAAGCATTTTCTTTTTCAACTTTAAGCCCTTTTTTTTTCGATATTTATCTTAAATTGAGAATACATATATTCTTTGACATATTGTTTTGAAGTTCTTTGCTTTAAAGCTAGGGGAGTCCTCCCTCTCTTCTCTTTGTGGGGGTTCAAGAGAAGTGAGCATAGGGGGAGGTAGAGGAGAGGTGATGCAAGAGAGGAAGGTGATGGACATCAGTTTGAAGGACCTCTCTATGAAACTTGAAGAATTTGCCAAGGCTAGAGATTGGGAAAAGTACCACAGCCCTAGGAACTTACTCCTTGCTATGGTAAATTTTTTTTTTTTTGGTTAGTGCATTTTTATATGCTTTGATGATTTTCTAGGTTCCAATTGCTCTGTTAAGATTCAGTCATCATGTTTCCTTTTTTGTATATAAAGGGTGGTTTTTGCCCAACTATAAACTTTGTTCTTTGAGGGCATAAATTTGAGTAAAAACATAGCTTCTCAAAAAATTAGGGTAAGGCTATGTACATCTTATCACTTTTCCAAACTCTGTTTTAGCAAGAATTTCGTAAATTGAGTCGCCTTTTTATTTATTTATAAATATTTATGAGTATACATTTTGTTATGTTTGGGAACCTAAGAGAGAAAAGAAAAAAAAAAGATTACTTAAGGTATAAAAGAAAAGAAAAGAAAAGAAAAGAAAAGAAAAGAAATGATTGTGATTTATCTCCTTCTTGTTTGGATAAGTAAGAAATAAAAGAAAAGAAATGATTGTGATTTCTCTCTTTCTTGTTTGGTTAGATTTCATAAAAGAAAATAAAAGAAATTATTTTATGTTATATTACCAAAATAACCTTTTTATATTTTCAATCATTTTATTTCTTTTATTTTTATAGGGACAAAATTGGTATTATGAAAATATAAAAATATATTGGTTTCTTTTCTCTTCCAATCTCTCCACTTTTGGAAAGATTGAAACTGAGGGTGATAAGGTAAATGAGTTTCTCTCCGTTTCTCCTCATTTCTCTCCACTTAAGTTATCCAAACAAATAAGAGAAATACATATCTCTTCATTTCTTTTCTTTTCTCTCCAAATCACTCGATCCAAACATAAGTGAAGCCCTTGTGGTAAATTAATGTTGCAACATGTCATATACATCTATATATATAGGTATCCATGGATGCCATGTAAGTTATTACTGTGAATTAATCGACAACTAATCTCCTTTTGCATAAATTACATTCAAAATCTCAAATTAATCTCATGACTCTTCTACCAGTACCTTTCGCTAACACAAGTCTATTCTATTGTATATTAATATATGAGTCTTGTTAACGTATGTCCTTAGCGTACATGTTTAGAATACTTAAAAATGTTGTAAATTCTTTATTTCATTTACTTTCATACAAAATGTATACAATCTTTTTAATGTTGTTAATATATGCTCCAAGAACACACATTGTAACAAAATCATTAATCTTATGATTATTAATTACCTATGCCAGAGGAAGGAAAGAGCCAAATGCTTTCTTTTTATGATTATTAATTACTTTATTTGCCAGACCTATTAAGTGATGGCTAAGATTAATGTACTTGACAATAACAATCATACAGGAATAAAATCTCAAGTAGTTGTCCCAAGATTTTGACATTAAAAAGCATATACAATTGGCTGAACATGGCATATATGGAAAAGGCAACTTGTGCTCACCATGTATCAAACATAGGAATCTAATTGATTGGCACTCACTTGACGACTTTACTACATACACACACCAAAAAAAACAAACATAAGGGTGAGTGAATGTGTGAATGTCCATTCTTCTGTCTATTATGTGGCTTTTTTATGTCCCCAGACTTTCTCATTGCTAGATGTGTATAAGTGGTAAGCGAAATCTCCTAACCAACTTTTCCTTTCCAACACTAGTTCAAAATGCGTTTCTTAAGAATCTTTTATTGATAATGTGTATGGCTTGGATTAGTAGGTAACAAATTGACAATTTGTAGCCCACAGTAATCCAATGGTTTAAGAGAGGTGTAGAACCAATTGTAAATCTCGAGATTTTGAGTTCGACTTCCCACAAGCATCTTAGGATTTTTACTATGTATAAATGGGTCCAATGTGACCTTACCTTGGAGGAGTTCCTAGTCATCACAAAAATAAGGGATAATTTATCTAAATGTTTACTTTCATGTTTGATGAATTGTAGGTTGGTGAAGTGGGAGAGCTATCAGAGATATTTCAATGGAGAGGAGAGGTAGATAAAGGCTTACCAAATTGGGAAGAATCAGAGAAGGAGCATTTAGGGGAAGAGTTATCTGATGTGCTACTATACCTCATTAGGTTGGCTGATATCTGCGGCATTGATCTTGGTGATGCCGCCTCCAAGAAAATTGTCAAGAATGCCATCAAATACCCACCCAAGCTTTTCTAATTGTTAACAAATGTTGCACTAGGAAATTTTGTTTGGTGAGTGAGAAAAGTGATTTTGTTGAAATACCCATTTCAAAGAAAATGTTGTTCTTATTTCTGTGGAAATACTTATGAGGTGTCTACCGAAGACCTTATAATTTGTGTGTTTTGTATCACTTTGGTTTTTTTTTGGTCCTGAAACAATAAAAAACAGAACACCATTGAAGCTTGTAGGAAGGTCGCACGGACTTTGGCTCCTCACCATAAGCGTTTGGAAATGTTGTTAAAAATGGTCAATGGTTTTTCAAGAATGAATTTCATAAAAGGGATAAAAAATCACAATATATATCATACATGAAAAAAATTGAATTCAAGACCTTAACAACTGAATTCTAATATAAGTAATTGAATGTGTGTGTGAAACAATCCTGGGTCATGTGCTAGCATATGATTGTGCTTTTTTTGCGATGCCAACCTAGTTGGGATCATTAAGCTTAGCGATGATGCTCTCTGTACTCTCCTGCTTTGTTGATATAATTTTGCATGTATTATGCCTCTTTCATCAATAAAGTTTTATTTTGCTGATAAAAAAAAATGTGTGTGAAACAATAATTGTTATCTTCTAACTGAAATTACAATGTTCAAAACATGTCATTTAAAATTTTGTTCCATTTAATTGGCAATTTAATACAAGACATTTGTTTTTACAAATAACATAGCAATGGCAATGGTAATGAAATGAGCATTCTTACTACAAAAGATACAAATTTAAAAAGAAAATAAAAATCTTCCTTGCTCTATGCGTAGGCACTATAAAATGAACTAAATTATTTGTGTTAGACTCTCATGTTTTAAGCTTATTTAAGTTGAATTTCATACGTAAACAAATCAAATTTAAAATGTAAACACATTTAAAATTTGTTAAATTTTGAGATCTGCTTGGTAAATTTATTTTCACTCTAAAACTAAATAATAAAAAAAATGAAGCTACTTGAGTTTGGACTATTGATCTGCTCAATTAAATCGGGTAAAAATTAAATAGATCAAATTTAAATATGTGTCAAAATTCATTGAGTTTTTAAAATTAAATCTGTACCATCAAATACATCTAACTTGCATATTTATGTCTAAGCCTCAGCAATAAGACAGGCTTGGCTAGCCGTAAAGTTTGGGGCCCAAGCTCAGAGGCCCATGGCTCTAACCGATCAACAGACCGGGCGCATGTTTTATATTTCTAAGAGGACTACTAAATGCCTTTACTTTTTTTACTTTGGACCTTCTATTATTTTATTTTATTTTATTACAATTTTGTCCTAACATCAAATTTTAATTTTGTCCTTTTTTTATTTTTATTACAATTTTGTCCTAACATCAAATTTTAATTTTGTCCTTTTTTTATCCTCCCAAGTAGGGGTATGCAAAAAATCAAACCATCCGTGGACCCGCCCGACCTGTGCATGCCACAGGCGGTTTTGCAAGACCATTCGGTCAACAATGGATAGATTTCATGAAAAAATGTTAATTTACAGTCGGATATCGGATTTAATTAAAAAATATCGGTCAAACCCAATCCAACCCATATATATATAAAAAATAAATAAATATTATTTTAGTTGTTCAATTTTTTTTAAGTTACCTTGATAAGCTAAATGAGTTAAACTTCCAAGATAACTTGTCCTTTCCAAGTCAAAGTTGTATGACAACTCACCTAATCCCTTTATCAATAATTTCTTCACATTTTTTGAGTTTGACATGAGATATATACCATCTCAAATAAATCTGAGAGATATATAATGCTCCATATATGTTTTCCAAGGCCATATCTATTTTCTCAAGAAAAATGTATTCCTCTATTTTTCTCTCTCTCACAGAGATTTGACAAGTTCGTTTACTCTTGTGATTCTCTCTCTCTCTCTCTCTCCTCAATCCTTTCAACTTCTCAAATCTTTCATCTCTCTCTCTCTCTCCCTCTCTCTCCCCTTTCGACTCTCTCCCTCACCCACTTTCTCTCTCTCTCTTTGATAGACTAATTCATCATCTCTCACCCTCTCCCTCATTTCTGCTTCTTTTTATTTTTCTTTCCATTTCTATTCCGATAGTGATGGCAGTGACAGGGACAGATGAGGTTAGTTAACAATGGTGTTAGTGTTGGTGGCGATGAGCGATGGCACTGTGATGAATGAAGGTGGTCTCTCCTTTTCACTTTCCCCTCCCCTCATTTTCTTTGCTTTACTCACTCTATCACAAATCTGTAATCTACAAGTTATATACATAAACTCAATTTGTTGTTTTGAACTCTCAAATCCATTTTTTCACAAATTCTTACTGAATTTTCGAAATAAATCGAACCAACCGCCAAATCGTGACTTTTGAGTTAGTCGATTTTGAATTGTAGTTCGGTTGACAACGGGGTAGCTGGTTTTCTAACTCGAATGTGTTGGTTCAGCTGACGGTTTAAGAGTAAAACCGAGCCGAACCAACCCGTGCACACCCTTACTCGCAAGTCTAACCCTAACCCTAATCCTAATCCTACCACTACTTTCACTCTCGCCGGTGGCCTCCAGCGACCAACCCACCTCCTTTATTTTCCTCCTTCGGTGAACCTCTCACCACCACTTGTTGTTCACAAAACTATCAATGGCGACGAAGGTTAGGGTTTTGGTGGCGGCGGAGAAGGAGCGATTGATTCACGAACTCTTTTTTGAGATCTTCATCTTCATCCTCCAAAACCTACTCTCTTTTGTGCACAACTCTCTCTCTCTCTCTCTCCATCTTCGTCATTTTCTCTCTTTACCTCATAGGTTGGTCAATTTTTCTTCATTTGGTTACATAGAGCTGAACTTGTTGAATATGTTCGGTGTTCCACAATCGAACATATGCCTTTTATTCGGCTACATAGTACCGAACATCAGCTTTTATTCGGAACTGATTTTCCAAACAATGGTGAGAGTGGTCGCGAAGGCAAAAAGAGGGGCTTTCCGAACTAACTATCTATCATTGATCTTGAGTAACATCAATGTGATTCTCTACATTGAAGTAATCACCCTTCGAACTAGGGCCCATTACACTTCCAACGTTGTTACATTCCTTAAAACACAATTCAGATATGTTTGATACTCCAAGGAAACAGACAGTTGCTCTATTGTTGCTACTGTTGCCGCTGTCTGAGCAGGTCGCCGGAAGGGAAGGGGGATTGCCGGAGCAGTTGCAGGTCGAAGGTGTAGGGTGCGGTTCAAAGGGTATATTTGAGATTATGATAGGGGTTCAAAGAAAAATAAAAAGAGAAGCAATTTGGTGGTGGGGGGTTCAAAGTAAAAAAGTAAAGACATTTAGCAGTCCTCATTTTTAAAGTCTAGGATTTATCCTGGATTTAAAAATATGAGCTTATGAGTTTTGGGCTAGACCTGAACCATATGAGTGTGACTGCAAATGAACTAAATTGTTCATGAACAAGCTCGGCTCAGCTCGGCTCGTTAAGCGCTCGACTTATTTAGTAAATGAGCTATTAAGCTCTTTTAGTAAATGAGTTGAGCTCTAGTTCGCACGAGCTCGGCTCGTCAAGATCGGTTCGTTTATCTTTATTTAAATTATATAATAAATATATTATTTATATATTAAAATCATCAACCTTGGTGCGGTTGAGTTTTTTAAAGGCTCTCAACACAAAATTTTGGTACCAGATCTTTGGTTTTTGACCTAGGGCCTTCGTCAGTATACAACACATTTAGATTTTCCTATGAACCTTAATATAATTTTAATTAAGTTTTTTTTTATTAAATTAAGAAAATTAAAAAATTAAATTTTGAAGTGCATTACAATAATTAGAATTGAATATTAAAATATGAAAAAATAAAAAATAAAAATTAACTTTATTTATTTATTGAAATACATAACTGCATTCACAGTCCTTCAGTTTGGGCCACCAGTTCTACTCTTCGCCACAAGCCCAACTCATATATTTTAGGGCTGGGCCAGCCCATAAGCTATGAGAATTATTTTTTTTTGTCCATGCGCTTGTTTGGTCTAATTTTAAGGGGGAAAAAATGATAAATAGAATGTATAAGTATTCCTTTCCTTTTCACTTACCCAAAAATTTTTACTTACGCCAAAAAAAAACAAAAAAAAAAAAAAAAAAGTATTCCTTTTCAACTCTTAAATAATTAAATTTTAAAAAATTATTTAAGATATTTTTTATGTCATAAATATGGTAAACCGAAATTATGTTTTGACACAAACTATCAAACCTTTAAAAAAAATTAAATAAAAAAATAATATAAAAACGACACTCTCTACCAAACAGAGCCTACATGGGAGCATATCGCAGAAGTAGCGGGTATTACTTTCAAAACCGTTAGACGTGACAACGACTCATTCAGTTTCATTCACTCAATATTTAATTTAATTTAATTTGACAACGAAATCTTAATTTAATGTGTGTATATATATATATACACATAATCTGCATATATATAGGCACTTTTTAATCAAATCCAATTCTCTCTCTCTCTCTCTCTCTCTCTCTCTCTGCATTTCACAATCTCAGGTTATCCTCATTCATATCTTAATCCCTATCTCTCTCTACATTTTCTTATGTTAATTTCATTTTCTGTGATTTATCTCTGCAATGTATTAATGTTAAACTGATCTGATCTAATTGATGTATATGGAGATATGTATATGTGTATATATATATGCAGTTTCATTTCACGTCTCATGATTAGTACATTTTGCTTTGGATTTGAACCAATGTGTTTCAATATCTGTTTGGCTCTTGAATTATGTAAATATGATCAAATTATGATCCCATCGATGGAATCTGAAGATGATAAGATGTACACAATTTTAATCAATATTTTTTTAGGATGTTTATGAGATTCAAACCCATATATCCATTTTTTTTTTATCAATATATATCCATTTTTTTTATGAGATTCGAACCCATATATGTACACAAATTTCCATTAAAGTAAATATGGCTAAACGGCACTTATAAGGAGATCATCAACAAGTTTACACCAAACTAAGGGAAAACCTGGTGTAAAACAAAGGAAAGTCTCCAAATAAAGTACCAAAGATAAGTTATGTATAGATCTAGACATAACATTCATACTGCAAAGTAGAGATCCATCATAAAAGTTCGATACTAGAAAGATAAATATATAATCTATATCTAAATTGTGTGTAAAAGCTTGAACCCATATGTCATTACTCCCTTTGCTACTCCCTTTGCTATTCCCTTCATATTGTTTCTAAATATAAAAATTCAAACTCTTTTGGAAATCTAAATGTGTCCCATTTAACGTGATTATTGATTTAGGTAGCCTAATTAAAAATCAAGCAACCATTATCAGTGTTGATAAGAAACAGTAAGAGAAAATCATCAACGACACAAAAGATTTTTTACATGGAAAAATCACAATTAGAATCCACCAACTTGTAATAAAAAATCAGCCAACCTTCTTTTACTCTTCTTTATATTTGGTCATTTTTTTTCCCACTCTGACAGTTCGTGTTTTAAGTTTTTTTATTTTATTTTATAATTTACTCCTAAACTAACTTTTGTTCAAAATAGACAAAAAATGCCACCTTAAATATCACATGACATAAAAAATATATTATTATATTGAGATTTAAGTTTATAATATAAGTGCGAGTTATATATAATAAAATATTTTTATGCTATTTGACTGTTAATGTATCATTTTCTGTCTAATTTTAGACATAAGTTAATTAATTTAGAAAAAATTTGAAACATGAATAATCAAAGTGAAAAAAGAAAAAAAGAAAAAAAAGACTTTAAGGACTAAAATGAGAAAAGGGCCAAACATATAAAAATCCTCCATTAGATTTGGGTTAGTGGGTGATGCAGTTTTTATCACAGAGATAAAGAAATTTTATGTGAACTTGTGTAGTTAATTACTAAATAACATGTTTGCTTATCTAAATATCTAAATTATGCAGTAAACCTTGAAAATGGAGGGGACTGTGTTTAGCCTTGCTTTGGAGGGAATGAAGAATGTCAAGTCTGACAGAGGAGAACTGTTGACAGAGCCTTTCTTAGATGTCTGCAAACACATATTGCCTATTCTAGGTGTGCTTTTCTTTGCCTTTTGGTAATTTAGCTAGAGAATAGCTTCAATCAAGAAGAGTTTTCATAGTTTGTTTTATTGTTGCTCAAACCATTTAGTTTTTAATTAGAATTTTCTAGATTTTCTGTGCACTTGGAAGTTATTTTCATAGTTGTATGGGTGTTTGGCGGAAATGCAAAACGGACTTCCGGGCTTTAAAAGTCCTTCCAAAGATTTAATGGTTGCTTGGTGAGTTTATGTACACGAGCTTTTCTAAAAAGTGCATGCTTCTAAAAGGCCGTTTTGTGGAAGCTCCATTCGGTGGCTTTGTGATTGACTTCTCATGAAGTCTAATACTCGTTTGAATAAAACTTTTATATGACGGTGTTGTCTCTATAATACTGACCTACATGACCTTCATTGTCATGAATTTTCATTTCTTTGGACTTTTTGGGAAAATTACTAAAATATTCAAAAATGAAATTTTCATATAGCACTTTTAAAAAGTGCACTTACCAAACATAATTTTATATCAAAAGAACTTTTCTTGAATGACTTCCTTTAAAGTCCATTCTACAAAAGCCCTTGCTTTATGGAGAAGTTGTCCCAAACAGTGTAACTATTCTTTTTCTATGGTTTAGACAGATTTTTTTTATTGGACAAGAAAAAGGAAAAACTAAAACCAAAAAAAAAAAACAAAACAAAACAAAACAAAACAAAATAAAAAGAAGTTTTGAATAAAGCATGATCTTGCATTTCCAAATGCTAACATTTGTCAGTGTCAAAACATTGTTCTTCTCTTTTGTAATTTCCTATACCGTTATGCATTGCTTTCGGAGTTATATTTGTCTACAAACTTGCTCTTAAGTCCTTTTTTGGGCCTTTGGCTTGGCAATCCATTGAACTTTTTTTAAATTTCTGATGTCAGACAAATTTGGAGCTGCAATGACGGTTGTGAAATCCGATATTGGTGGTAATATATCGGTAAGATACTTTTCTTCTTAATTTTCACTTATATGCTCGTTTACATTCAATTAATTATAATCCTCTTCAATAAAAAAATACATAAATAAAAGTTAACATGTCACACTATGCCAATTTATGATTGGCAAAAGATTGTAAAGGCACTATTGGGTAAATATTGAATTTGTTCTTTGTTGTCCTAATAATGTTAGTTTAAAACATGGTCTCGAAGTCTTGTACTGGCTAGAAATTTGTCGAGCTCAATTTGAAAGATTTTGGATTTGGGTTTCTATATATTTTGTTTGACGAAGTCTAACTGGAAAACATAAATGCTAACCTACATTATATACATTTCTCTAGTTAAATAAAGTATAATGAAATTTCTGCATCCTCATATTATGCTTTCAATCCTGAATTCAGTTAATTGTTCAATACTGGTATTACTTGCAGAGGCTGGAATCTAGATACAATTCCAATACAACTAAATACAACTACTTGTTCAATTTCGTACAAGCAGAAGTTGAAACAAAAACGACAAAATCATCATCAAGTTGTTCAAATGGTCTTCTTTGGTTGACAAGGTATATGATTATGCTATTTGCTTGTCGTGTTAAAAAAATTAATGTCATCTGTAAATTCGTTTTTGATGATTTCTAGGGTAAATGAACTTTAATAACAACGGAATGTTGTTACTTGCCAAACAAAATTTTTTTTTCTTTCCAAAATATTAGATGCTTCTAGATGTATGATGTTGTCATGGTGATTCTGCAGAGCAATGGATTTCTTGGTGGAGCTATTTCGGAACCTACATGACCATCAAGATTGGACAATGACACAAGCTTGTACCGATTCCTATAGCAAGACATTGAAGAAATGGCATGGCTGGCTAGCTAGTTCAAGTTTCACTGTAATGTTTCTGATTCCTACTCAATCAGATTGTGCATTTCCTTGATAGAAATAAGATCAGACTTCCTATTAGCCTTATAGTCATATTTCTCATAATATGACACTTGATTTTTTGAACCGATAATCAATAGGATTTAAATGCCTCCTTTTAAGTGCTTTCTGAAATCTTATTCATTGTTCTCATATTTGTCACTCCTTGATGCATTCTACTGTTCTACCCACCTTTTTTCACAGAATTTAGGCATGTTTAGTTGTGTTTTTGTTTCTCTTTTTTCATGTTTTTGAAAAGTTTGAAAATGCTCATCATTTTTATTTTTGTGAGAAAACAGTTTTCAAAAATTCGAAAACAACTTTTTAATGTTTCCCTAGAAAGTGGGTTGGATTCAAAAAAGATTTCGAAAACAGTTTTCAAAAACAGTTGGCCAACTTTTTAATATCCACTCTCTTCTGTCCTTTCTTTCCATCTCTTGTTCTGTCAGAAAACATTAGTTCTATTCTTTAATTCTTAGAGCATTTCTTTTCCTTTGTAGAGATTTTGACATTTAAAATTAAATCACAGGTTGCTATCAAGCTTGCTCCTGATAGGAAGAAGTTCATGGAGGTGATAGGTAGCTCAGGAGATATCCATGCTGATATGGAAAATTTTTGCACAACCTTTACACCAATTCTTCAAGAGATCCACAAGTTTCTGGTAAGGACTTCTTGGCTTGTTGTTAAGCTGACTCTTGCTTAATCTTGTGTTTGGATTATGGATTTGTAGAGGTGAAAAAACTAAGAAGGAAAATGTGTAGAAAATTACTTCTCCTACGTACATTTCCTTTTCTATTACTTTTTTTTTTTTTTTTTCACAACAAATCCATGATCTAAACACAACGAAAGGGAAAGAATGACAAAGTAGATTCAAGATGCTAATGAGGATATTATATGATGACAAGGTAGAATGACAAATTTAGCTTCTATCACTTCAGTTTCTTTGCAACTTTTCTATTTTCTCTTACAAATCATTCTACAAATTCATGATCCAAACATAGCCAAGGGACGTGATCCTCCATCAAAAGGAGAAAGATAGAGCCAATTATCCTATGTCCTCAAATCTCTATACCCTTGTTCCCAATGCACTCCTATCCACACAATGTATTGGGAATATCGAGATACGATTGTGCAACTGACAGTGCATTGAGACAGGGCATAGGATTTTGAGGAGAGAGGATCTATGTCCAAAGGTGCAAAAGTTTTAGTATATATATATATGTAATATATTTGACTGGAAAAAAAGTGATTTTCTTTTCCCCCAAATAAGAAAAATCAATAATTTTAAAATCTATACTCTCTTGGTGCAGGCTAAAGTTGGCTTGGATAGCTTGAAAGCTTCATGATGGAAACGGTGTTCTTACAAGTGGCACTTGATTTTGTTCAACCCTTCTCACTCTTCTTTCTAGTCCTCTTTAAGATTATTTTCATTTTTTTGGATCTTTGGACAAAGTGTATTCTCAATAATTTCCATTTCAATTGCTAATTAACACTGCTCTATCAAACTTTTTCCTTCATACATTCTTTTGATTTAATTTACTTGTACTTGGCTATTATATACACCCGACATTGTACGAGAGAAAATATTTTCCTTTTGCTCTTCTCTTTGTCAAATTATAGGTCTTTTTTGAGTGCGTCGCATTGCTGAAAATATTTCGGATATTCACTTGTGCTATCTTGGCCTGGTACAGCCAATATCATTTTTATATGCATACGAATTTCATTAAAAAGATTATTAGATTTGTTAAGAAAATATGAAAAGGACTGTAAAACCTACCCTTCCAAGTGAACTTTAAGAGAAATGCCCTATCTCTCATTTCATTACCCCCAATTACACCTCTAATGAGGTGGCAAACAATAATAAGCAATCAACTCTCTTCAAAAATGTAGGACCACTTCACATAGCAGTGAGCCACGTTATTAGGGATGGAATTAGGGGTGCAAAATTAGAGAAATGTAGCACAACTTGATAATGATCAAACAAATCCTTTGGCAAAACTATTTCTAAAAATTATGTTTGAAAAAAAAAAGAAAAGAAAATCTCTCAATTCATTTTTAGAATCTAGTTTCTTAGAGTTCTCAAAAAATCTAATTCATAAAAATAAAAAATGAATCCTACATGGAAAAAAGAAAATTCCCCTTTCATCACTCACTCGAGTAAAAGTTACGCCATTCTGTGGTAAAAATTACAAATAATTAAATCCATGGTGTACAATCCTAAAGTGAAAGTTACAAATCAATATAGTTGTATTATGAACAACGTGACAAATCACATCAGTTCTCCCTCTCGAAATCATAACTTTTTGCCATATTTTTCTAATTCCTGCAAAACCATTTCATCTTCCTATTTCATCTCTATCTGTGTCCTTAGATTCTCTTTCTCTTGGCCTCTGCAAACCATCATCGCTGTTCTTGAAGCATTCATTACTATGAAGACTCCCTTTATGCCCAAGGTTCAAACTTTACCAGCTGAACCAGACTAACAGCCAAGCAATTCATCAGCTGCTCCACACGTTAACCCACCATCTCAATGGCAGTGAAAACACTGACATAGAGACAATCTTGCAGCTAGAACCAGGAACAGGAAACACCGAGGTCCTAAGCTCCCAGCCTTAGACCTTGATAATTTTCCAATTGCTTTATCTGTGAGTAACCATCGCTGTAACCAATGACAACATGTCTCGCCGAACTCTTGTAGTAGAAGACGTTCTTGTTGACATCCTGTAGACGTCCCCGAACGTCCTGGAACGTCCCGGGAGGGAATCCCGTTCTGTTCATTTGGGCTCACTACAGTTCGAACTCAAATTGTCAGGGTTCTTAATCTGATCTCACAATATGCAATGTGAGATTGATAAATCACCAAAGAGTCCAAATCCGACAAATCGTTTTGAAAAACAGATTTTTAGAAAGAAGTGTCAAACATAGACTGCTTTGCAAGATACAGAGTCGCCACCTAAATATTTTTTATGGGAGAATTTAGGAAACCCTGACTCGTTTGCCTAAGGCCACGTGTCCGTCATCACCAAAGTTGCCTCGGCTCGGGAACTTGGGTACGATTGGGGAAGGTCAGCTATGAGCACCCCCGCTCGCCCGATTAAAGATTGGCCTCTACTAACCATGATATCTAGTTTTGAAAACATTATGCATTCTTATTCCAGTTATTTAGCTAATCTTACTATGTGATGCGCACAACATAAAAGTATAGACTAGATCGCCTAATTTGGAACAAAGCATCGCATATCTGTTTTGTTTGGAAAATGGTTTGAGGTTTGCTACTCGCAAGTAGGCTAAAACACGGGTTTCGACGAATTATTCCAATTCAAGCAACCCAACCTTCACCCACAGGCATTCAGGCAGTAAATCGACTAAGTAATTAGCCTCATGGCAAGCATGCTTTCATGTTAACACTCACATACATGCAATATGCTAAAGCATAAACACTCACAGTGTAATCCGAGCCAAAATGAAGAACATGTTAGCAATCAATGTATGATCCAAGTCCATGTTAAAATGGCTAATGCATCGCATACAAAATGCCACTAGAATAGGCTCGGCTAATCTAAGGATGGCATGTGAAATGCAACAACTCAATGCACGTATTCAAATTGGAATTGAAATACTGTGCGGTTAGTATGATGCGCCGAGCCCGATGCATGCAATACAGATGAATGGATGCACGCATGCATTGCATAAGGTATGCTAAATCAAATATGCCTTAAAACTAACCATCATGAGTAGTTAAATAAAAGGGAGAAAGAAGTGGGGTTGGAAGACATGCATCACACACACGCACGCTTATTACAAATTGCCCTCTCTCGGAGGGACCAAAAGAATAATACAAATTTAACTAACTAACAAGCTAATTAAATAGTTACAGACCACTTAACTAGTTAAGCAAATTAACTAAGCTAATAAAGCGGTAAAACAGCCTCGGAAAGAGGGTCCAATGCATGCGTGCTCGGCTTCGCTCAGAAATCCACCACCATGTACAAGCTGCCTCTGTTTACACTGTTCTACATCTCTGAAGACTGCACAAGTCCCAAGGATGCTTCAGCATCACTCCCTGATCACTATGGAAGGTCACCGACCAAGAGAAATGGTCACCGGCCATGGTAAAGTGGTCATCGACCATCTATGATGCCCTCAGCCATCCATTATTGGTCGATCGGCACTGAAAATGGTCAGTCGACCATATCTTCCTGCAGAACCCTGTTTTGACAGCAGCAGAGGACAGACAAGACATGGCAATGCATTTCACATCAAATGTTTGCACAACCAACCTCCCTATCATGTCATGGACTCAAGGGAGTTTGGTCTTCGACCCTCGGGCCACCAATCACGTATTTCAATGCATGATGGTCCAAGAGGCGAAAGTGTGCAATTTCAATGTCAAATAGAATGCACACAAAACACATAAAGGACCCAACCTCTATCATGCTTGATCAAGAGGCAAGACATGCATGATATGCACAATGTTATGCATCCTAAGCATGCAAGCTAAGTATGCAACATGAACATGCAAACAAGCAATGTGTACTAGGCACACAACCTAAGCAAACAAGCATACGAGGCATGTAACAACAATGCTAATGACAAACATGCAACAACATGTAAAGGGGATTTAGCATGGAAACATGTAAAGCAACTTAACAAAGATAATGCATGCCAAATGCAAAGTGATTCAAGCATGCAACAACATGTGATAGGCCGAGCATGCAACAACACGCAAGGCGAGCATGCAACAACATGCAAATGATGGACTTACACCAAGATGGACAGCTCTCTACTAGGTTCAAAACAGTGGCCAATATACCAAGGAAATGGAGGCAAATGTACATACAAACATGCATGCATACATGGTCCAATACTTAAGCATAAAGAGGCAACTTTTAAGCACACTTAAAAGGAACAAACATGGACAAATGTCATATATTGTAAGCTCTGAAATCATGTTAGAAAAGGTGCCAAACCAACTAAACAAATCAAGCAAAGCATGCAACAAGGTCCAAGGCTCATGGCTAGCCAAGGGGCTCAAGTCATGACCATGCCAACCAAGCCTCAAAGGGCCAAAGGGACTCAAAACAGTCCCAAGGCAGACCAAAACAAGGCCAAAGACACACTTAGATGGCATCCCAAATGCCTACACATTATGGCATACACAATGGCACAAACATGGAGCATGAAACACAAACTCTTTAAAACATTAAAGAATCATCAATTGTGAGTAAACAAGCATGCCATATGGGCTGAAATGACATGGTAAGTGACTCCAAGTCACTGAAATAATGCAAGTAAAGCATGCTAGAGGATCCAATACTCAAAGCCTACAAGCTAGGTTGCATAGTAGCTATACAAAGCAAGTCATGGATGACCCAAACAACCAAAATCAGACCTTAAGCATACCAAAACATGCATAAAAACTTCACAAAGCTAAGCCAAAATCATGCTAGAAAGTCATGGTACATCATGATGCATGTTAAGGCAATTTCATGGCATTACAAGACAAGTATGCAAAGCATGCATGGTATGTCTAAACCAACTTAAAACAGTGCTATATCATGATAAAACAAGCACAAATACTGGCTGAAATGAAGCTAAAGCAAGCTAGGCATACAAGCTACAACACAAGTCATTTGTGCAAGCATCAAAGGTAACATGAAGAGGGGATGGCCCTTTCCCATTTAGGACCTGAAAACCACCTTTCCACCACTGAAAATCCTCTGGATTTCAATGGTAGAGAGGTCATGCAAAGCTCAAAGCGAGGGCCAAAAGGTATGGCCTTAAACAAGGCCTAACAAGGCCTTGGAGGGGGGAAACAACCCCAAACCTCAAAGTAACCTTAAACAAAGTTCTAAAACACACAAAATCAGAACTTTTATTAGTTATGCACTAAGCTCAAAAATAGATGCAAGATAGGTCAAAAGCTTGTGCAAAAATGGAGAATAAATGAGTAAGGTTCTTACCCTTGAAGACCTTCTTCAAGAAGACCACTCCAGCAGCCTCCTTAGGTCAAAACCAGCTCAAAAACTCCAAAAACAACCCTTTGGCACCTCAACAACCAAGGTATGGTGTAATACTATGTGTCTTAGTGCAAAACTAAGAACAAAACACCTTTATACACAAACAAATCAAAAGGAGATGGAGATATAGAGATAGATAGATATAGGACTTCTTTAACCCTAATATCAGACCTCTGGAACTTTTGGAACCTTTGAGGAGGGAGGAGAAGCCCTCCCTTTATAGGAATTCCAATCTTGCAAAACTTACAAAACAAGCTAAGCAAGAGGGAAATCCTTCCATACACGTGTATGGAGGGGGTGCATTGTGGATGCCAGCTATCACAGCT